AATCAGTGCAGATTCAAGTTTAGCCCTATAATGATGTCATTCTTAATCACTTACATTCTGAGACACTTTCCTGAGTGGAAAAGGACAAGACGGAATTACAGAGAGCATGCCAGGAAACTGCACATTAGAATATGTCACACACGTAAATATCTTGCACTTGGATGAGAAAAAATACTGAGAATCTCCGACTTAGATTACAAAATCTTTGTTTTACTGCTAGATGAGACAATAAAGACTATCTGGTTACTATCTGGTTCAACTCCTAACTCTTTACTCAATTCAGTGCTTGCTTCACAACACCCAATAACCATAGGCTGATCTGTGCATTAAACTACAAGTTATGTTTTTTAAGAAATGAATACTATACTTATAGAACACATATTTTAAAATAGAGATATTTATAAAATATTGCCGCCTAAAAAATAAACATACACATCAGCAAGAAGCTAAAACTAAGAGTTTTATGTGCTATTCCACTTGAAAATAAAGTTTAAATTTTAAACAAATTAAGTAAATGTGGTTTGGGGCCAGCCCCGTGGCCAAGGGGTTAAGTTCGAGCACTCTGCTTCAGCAGCCCAGGGTTTCATCAGTTTGGATCCTGGGCACTGACATGGCACTGCTCATCAGGCCATGCTGAGGCGGCGTCCCACACGCCACAACCAGAAGGACCTACAACTAAAATATACAACTACGTACTAGGGGCTTTGGGGAGAAGAAGAAGAAGAAAAATAAATATTTAAAAGAATAATAAAGTAAATGTGGTTTAAGGTGGGAAGGAACACTAGTTAGAGATTTAAGAAAGTAACATTTAGCTTTTCTGTACCACTTGTAAGCAAATACTTGTGGTTAAAAAGGAAAGGAATTTTGGAAAACCATCCAACAACAAATGATAATCTAAGGTGAAAGAAAAATAACAGGAATTCAGACAATAGATATATTTTGAGGTACAAAGCATTTAAAGTAAATTTCTGATTATCCCGACCTGAAATATGGTAATCAAAGAACTATAAAAGAACAGCTAATCTGAGATACTGCTAATTATTTGCTTTGCTTGCACAAATGCAAATGTCATTCAATTTAAGTAAACTTAATGTACATTATTTTAATTTCCTAAATCTAAAATTTCGAGACTTTAAGGACAGTAAAATAAACTGCTATTAGGAGAGATAAAATTAAAGCTACCATGTAAGGAACTGTGAAAATTGAGGACTTCCTAAATTCAGGCAGACCTAGATTGTTTCATTTCTTCTTCCTAACAAGCTTGTGAGGCAATTTTATCATCCTCATTTTACACGTGAGGAAACTATGGTTTAAAGAGATGAAGTAACTTGCCCATGATCTCACAGAGGAAAATCCTGATTTCTCACTGAAACCCAGATTATTTGTCTTCAAAACAAATAAATTGTCTTTCACTACACCCTTCAACCTGGAAAGAAACACTTACATTAAAATTTTCAATCTTTTAATTAAAACCTTCTAAAGGAAGAGACAATATTAAACTTAGAGTAAGTGGTGATGATATATAGAATAAAAATTAGTCATCACTTGATAAGTATATATGAATATTTAAGAAACAATTCCAAGTCACACATGACATTAAGTTTTAAAAAGCTGGATATGTAACCTCCCAAAAGTAGAGAAATCTAAAAATTTCTGTAGAAAGGCACTAAGTAAACTTCATCTTACCTAGACATTTTGAATTTCAGAGAAAAAACTTGAGAGGCCCCATACTACGTCAGCCATACAGCAGTTTCACATAGGTAACTAGGATTATATTTATTCTTACGAAATAAGAAAAAGTGGATAATTGCTTGGGTCTCATTCTTTTGTTCTGACTTTAATCTGTCCTCTATTTATTCTTTTCCATTTTCCCCAGATCTTGGAGCCCTCTTCTAATTTAGGGTAACTGAGTCTCAAGCTCAGGAACTCCTGCCAGGTTAGATGCAAGGGCAGATATACTGCAATGAAGACCATAAAATTGCAATGAGTCCTACAGTGTTAGAGAAGAAACAAAAGTTTCAGTTATTTTCCAAAGCATTAACTATTGTGGAATTGTTGGTGACTTTTCTTCTCTACAGTTTTCTGAACTTATTTTAAAGCATTTAACTTTTATAATAAAAATAAAAATAGGAAAGGAAGAAGAAAAGGAAAGAAGGAAGGTGGCAGAGGGGAAAACAAAACCTGGAGCTTTGATCAAACAATATCTAAACGTCTTATTCTGTCCAAATTTCCAAAACTATGACCTACTTGTTCCCTTTAATCTCTCAGTGATGTGGTAATTTAACCATACATAAGCATGCCAAAGTTAAATGAGATATGGAAAAATAATAATGAGGCAATCCAAAGATCTATAAATTCTCAGACATAGCTCAATTTCAATATTTAAGAAATTAGCTATATAAATAAGCATGAAAAATAGATTTAAGGTATACTAAAACTGAAAGGCAGGATTCAAATACTTAGGGAAGAGTGCAGGAATTTCCTAAGTATGGAAAAATTACCAATATAATATACACATATGTGAACTTACATCCATTTCTTATTCTTTTATTATAAACTGAAGTTCTATATTAAAACATTCCTTTAGAATACCATGAAACAACACCCAAGATAGTTTTGAGCCCTATCAAAATATTGACTTAAATCTCTCTAGATAATTACTTCACTTTCCATGAAATAGTTTTACTAAAAAAAGTTCACATTTGTAAGCTTTCTTTTTCCATTACAAAAATACATTCTTATTCCAAAACAATGTACATAAGATTGATCCAAGTTATTAAGTACGTTACCAAAACATTGCATAATTGAAAGTTCCTTGGACCTGTCTTCAGAAGAAGATGCTCATTTAAAAATCAAGTACAAAAGTACAATTTATTAACACAGGAATCCAATTTTAAAACAAATCTTTTATTTGTATAACAAGTTCATTAGATTTCCTTTTTTTCTGATTACCAAAATCCAATTTACTTATCTGGGCCTTGATTTATAAAGATGATGACTTTCAACTCATTCACAAGATTGCTTTATGATAGTCTTATGGAGTTAAACTACACTATTTTCATCTATAAATGGAAATAAGCACCTCACGATATCTTGGTATGATATATATTTATGCTGGTTTTCCAACTTTATCATTTCAGCTCCTTAATATTTACCATGTAATTGCTGTCTTGAAAATGTTAGTGCTGTGTAGGTGGTTGGGTAGTTACTGTACAATTCAACTTTTCTGCATTGTTTGAAATTTCTCATAATGAAATACTGGAGCAAAGAAAATAGCAAATTTGAGAAGTTCACAGACCAGAATCACAGCTACATAACAGGTGAAGATAAAAATGAAAGTGATTTGTCTACTCAAAGCCTGAATTATTTCTTCCAAACTACTGACATTAACCTTAGAAGAGTACAGAAGTGGCCTTAATAGGACCTAAATAAGTTTACATTATATATATTTAATGCTGCCAACCAGCAGCACAGAAGACAAGCAGATCGTCACTACAGGTCTTTCATGGAAGCAAACAGACAAAAAGTATCCAAGTATGCCTATGTACTCTCAATACATGCCCAATACCTTTGGAAGCATAGCTTCCTTGGCTCAAGAGTACCAGCAGAGATTTCCTGGATTACAAAAGACAGGCTCAGCCTTCCTTTGCATTGACTGACAAACGTATGGCTCTTCACGAGCATGTCTCCCTAAAGACTATACAGGTATACCACGACTACAACGCTGCACTAATGAAATAACTGTATTTTGCAATAGTTTTTTTTTTAATCTTGTTCCCATTCCATAGGTTGAAAAGTATTTTCCAGTCTTTAATCACTAAAATAGTTTTGGTCTACTCTTACTGATTTTTCAATTACACTCTTGTATACAGTGACACCACTCGAGAAATTTTTTATCATCTTTATCTGGAGAAAGAGGAAAATGGTACTACACTTTTAGAGCAGTTTTCCTCAAAGTAACAGCGAGATTGCTATGAATATACGCAGTTTCTTATGAATTAAAAAGATTAAAGCTTTTTTTTTTAGTCATAAGGCAAAGGAAAATGAAAGGCTACCAGCCTTAATAAATCATTAGATTTGGGATTGCACAGCACCAGATATCAAAGTCACAACGTACAAAGTAAAAAGCGACAACTTCACAGTTAACTCCTTAACTTGCGCCCTGCCAACACCAACCCAATTAGCGGGTTTCAGAAAGTTAATACTAAGGGAAACGCCAAGGCAGAAAGCTGTCCCGAAGGTGCCTACGAACACCTCCTCCTCAACCCTAAATGGCAAAGAGAGAACAGAGCAGAAACCACCCGGCTGCACCAGCCACAAAACGGTTTCTCTCTCGACTATCTCTTGGGGGGTCACCTCTGGCCAAGACAGGAGCAGGGATGGGAGGTGCGGACTAACAGCGGGAGGTGGGGAAGCTGACTTGGGGGAGAAGAGCCGGGGGCGGACGGCGCGGGTCCAGGGAGGCTGCAGGGCCCCAGACGTGGGGAGCAATCGGGGGCGCAACTAGGGGTTGGGGTGGCCGCCCCAGCGGAAAAGCGCACCGTGAGCAAGGGGTGCGGGCGTGATGGGCGGTGCCCACAGTCCCCTCTACACCGCCCCACACCCCGCAGCCCCCCGACCCGGCGACGGGGCGGGGCCGTTGCGCCCGCCTCAGCCCTTTCGCGCCGGCACCCGCCCCCTCAGCCTCCCGTCCCGGGTTGGTGGGAGGGGCGGGCCTCGCCACACCGGGTGGGCAGCCCGGCCCAAGCCCCAACCAGGAATGCTCTGCCGCGGGCCCACGACGGGCGGGAGACCCCGCAGCCTGGGGCGGGAGGGAGTTGGCTGAGGGCGGAGGAAGAGCCTTCGGCGCAGCCGCCGCAACCAGGGCTGAGTCCCAGGCGCCCCCATGAGGGCAGGGAGTGTTGCCCCCGTTCTCGGCTTGCCTTCCCTCCTCTTCCCCCCCTCCCCCGGCGTTGCCCCGGGCAACAGCGCCTGCCGCCGGCGGCGCGAAACTCACCTACCTAGAACCTGACAAGCAGGAGCCCCTCAGACACGGGAGCCAGTCGCCACCCCGCGTCACGGGGGCCGCCACAGCCAATGGGCGCCGCTGTCACAAGCCTGTGCGGCCAATCCTGCTGCGCTCCGGTCTCCGGGCACCCTCGAGGCCTTAGCCAATGGGCACGAGCGGAAGGCGGGCGCTGCCGCCTGGCCCCCAACCCCCTCCTTTACCACCTCCCAGGAGGCGGGGCGCGGCTGATTGGCCCGAGCGCCCGAGGGGTGGGACGCAGGCTCCGGGCCCGGTGGGCGCGCGCGGACTGGGGGCTGCGGGCGAGGCGGAGCGAGGCGTGGAGCTGCGGCCGCCGCCCTCTGGCCCCGCTCCCCGGCTCGGGTGGGGTTCCGAGGTCGTCCTGCTGGCGCTGCTCTCCTCGTCCCTGTAACCCGCTCCTCTCCAGCCGGTGTCCAGGGCTGCCGGGGTGGGAGTGCGGGCGAGATGGGGCCACAGGCGGACGGCGGCGTCACAGGAAACTTTGGGAGGCTCGCCTGGCCGTGGCCGGGAAGTGGCCGGGCCGGGGGTGATAAGCTGGGGCCGCCTGGAAAGGACTACCCTGCGGGTCGGCAGCCGGAAAGGAATTCGGAGGGTGGGGGCGGAGGCATGATTAAAATGTTAAGTGTGCCCGCGGGGTGCTGGGCGATCCCGGGAGCTGAAATCTCAGGGAACGGAAGCAGCTTTGGGGCTGCGGAGCCCCCCTTCCCCCTCAAATGCGCACTTTTCACCCTCAGAATCAGTCGCTTTTCCCTGTATGTTTTATTTGCATCTACTTTAACGTTGATTCCTTTAGAATGGTTTTCGGCTTCTCCAATGGACTCTGAGTGCCTTAAAGGCAGGAACTGTGTTGTTTTCATTCCTGTAATTCCCAGTGACTGAGACTGCCTTAAAAACGAGGTTAGACGCTCAATGCTGGAATTGTGATGGATGCTGTTAAAAAGCGTACAGCAGGTCCTGTGATGGTCCCCTATAGTAAGTCCTTTCCCCTTCGGAAGTCTAGAATGCTTGAAGAACCCAAATTGGTTTCCTCTTCCAGCGAGGGCTGTTTCTGAAGCGTTCTTCACCAAAAGAATTTAGTGGAAAATGAGTAATGTGAGCTAAACAAAGATAACTAAGCGATCTTTTTAACAGGATGATAGCTGTTATTAGTCACTATTACAGGGTGTGTTCCTGTAGCCAAGTTTTTAAGGCATTATATTCTGTACACTGGTTGAACCACATTCTTCACCTAGGGCAAATCTAAAGTCAACCGCCTCTCCACCTTACCCTCTAAAACTTTTGAATTAGGTGGGAGGCAAAAAAGAGTGATAAGTGTTTTTTTTCTAAACAGGGTTGTTTATTTGAGAATGGTAAACAGCCCTACACAGACAAAAATACGAATTCTTGTCATAAAATAAGTCATGGGGATGTAATATACAGCATGGTGACTATTGTTAATACTGTATTAACATGTTCAAAAGTTGCTAAGAGTAGACCTGGAGTCCTCATCACAAGTAAAAAAAAAATAACTATGTATGGTGACCCATGTTAACTAGACTTACTGTGGTCGTCATTTTGCAATGTATACAAATAGTGAATCATTATGTTGTACACCTGAAACTAATATAATGTTGTATGTCAATTATACCACAATTTAAAAAAAAAAGAAAGAGAGTACAACTATCTCCCAAGTTTCTATGGGAGAGTAGGAGCTTAACTTTTGGTGGGCAAATTGCTCCTAGTTGCAAAACTACTTTCTGTCATAAAGACATGAGAACTTTGTTTTTCCTCTCGATAAAGCTAATTAGCTAACACAGATGGTCACCTCAATAACCAAATGCAGTTAAGATGAATTATCTGTGCAAATGATGTCAAGGTGTCTAACTTGCGGACTACATAGTTATTGTCTTGAAAACATGTAATGAGTTGTATCTGCTTGACCATATAAAAGTGTGAAATTTCTTTCTGTCTTCAATCTCTTTGCTGATTGCCTGTAATGCACATCACATTCTGGTTTAATGTTTGTTCAATAATAACTTTTATTTCTCAGTTACATTTGTTGAGAGAATTTCTGGGTTAGGAGGCGGTTTTGTTTTTAATTCTATTTCCCCAGCAATACCTATGTCCAAAATATTGAGACTATGAAGTTAAGGAAAGTAATTACCTCTTAGTTTTCAATTTGTTCTCAAAAATGATCTCACATTAGGTGATACCTTATTGCTGAACTACAAATACATTTTAATAGAGTCAGAAATGATAGTAAAGTTAATGTTTGGTATGTTGTAGTAACTGTTAACTGCATACACTAAGCCTATGTGAAGAAATCTCTTAAAATAGAAAAATTAATTTTCTGTGAATATTGAATGTTGTGGTGTATGTCTTCTCAATATGAATGAGATCAATGAATGTGCATTAAATGATTAGATAAAGCCAAAATAGAACTTTGAGGATTGCTTCACCAAGCCATATCTTTTCCAAGAACCTTAAGATCTCTCTACCTGTATACAAAGGGAATCTAAATCTGGAAAAGTGTGGTTGGGGAATTAGTTATTACATATTTATAGAAAGTAGCTTTAAATAAATGTCTACTAGTAAAAAAAATAGAACTGTTTGATATACATGGGGTGTGTGTGTGTTTTAAGGAACACCAAATTCTGACAACAGTAAGAATTTCCAGTTCTTCTATAATTCTCTTAGTTCTTACCTATTCACTCCACAAACTTTAAAACTGCCTGCCATATGCCAAACATTATGCTAAGAAGTGCAATTCTGAATGAATGTACTTGAAGTAAATGAAAGTGATAAAAATCCAGCTGCATTTTTGAGACTGAAAAATGAATTATGCAAATCCAGTTTAAAATTTTTCCCCTTTTATAATTATCGCTTTGCATTGTGGCACATTTAACAAACACTTTGTTTCACCTGATTTCAAATATACTCTGCAACATACCTTACATCGTGTAAATGTAAGGAGAAGATGGAGGAATAAAGGAAAATAATCTCCTGTCTAGGTGATCCATGGGCTTCATAAAATGCTAGCCACCCCACAGGGCCTGGAGGAATATGTATCTCAGTTGAAGTTGTTAGCTTAGGACTTAAGAAATTCATCATCTATCATTAAAATGTAGATATATGCCAGGTACTACCATGATTTTTGAAATGCCACGGTACTGCCTAACTAGATAAATAAGTCCTTATTATATATTCCGTTTTCCCACATACCAATTTTTTGTCTCTTCTAATAACATTGCTCACCTAGACAAATGAATACAACAACATGGATGTCAAACCTTAGGCAATTAGAAAAGGTGATTTTAAAAGTTATTCCCTTACCCTCTCTCTCCACCACTCCCCACCATTGGCCGGTTTAATAGTTTCTCGTAATAGACTTCAAGAGAAATCTTGGCTATGTGCCATCTTAGTTCAGTAGTCTCCAAAACTATTCCTCCCTCTTTGCTTTAATCTATATTTCTTCTCTTTCCCACCTTTCTGCCAACTCCTTTGCTTTGTAACTCTCTGCCCTCTCAAATGCTCAATTCATACCCAACCACTTGCCACTCCTAAAATGGAGGTAGTGATGAGGCATGCAATATGGAAGTCATAGCTATCTCTATTCTATACATGCTGCAGTATGTTTTCAGTGCATATAAATTTCTTTGATTTTGAAAATTGTTCTCTTGAACGAATACTGTCAATAGAGGTCACATTTGTGTGAAATTTTCTTTAGGACTTTTTTTTTTGGCCTTCCAAATTTCAAATTTTCGAAATGGCTACGTTGGTTCCTTTATTTTACAAATCTGTGTAAGGAAAATAAAGGAGGGAAAAGAGGGTAGAAAAGAAGGTGAAATAGAGTTGGGAAAGGAAAACTTCTATTCTGACTTCAAACTAGATGTCAAATCCGCTAACACCATCTCACAGCCATCCTTCCCAGCAAGAGGTTAGCTGTGCTCCTAGCACTTCAATATTGGTTGCCCTGCTTCCCTGACCTTCTGCTCACCATTGAGAAAAACTGCCACCAACATTCCCAAGTAAGACATGCACTCTGCAAAATGCCCCTGGATCACTTAAGGCCCCTCCCTTTTTTGTTATTGTTGTTTTGGTTTTGTGAGGAAGATTGGCCCTGAGCTAACCTTTGTTGCCAATCTTCCTCTTTTTGCTTGAGGAAGATTGTTGCCAAGCTAACATCTGTGCAGTCTTCCTCTATATTCTGTGGGATTCCACCACAGTGTGGCTTGACGAGTGCTGCTGGATCTGCACCCAGGATCCAAACCCACAAACCCAGGCCCACCGAAGCGGAGCATGCAAACTTAACCACTACACCACCAGGCCAGCCCCTAGGCCTGTCCCTTTTTAAGGCATCTTTTTCTCAGAATTTACCTGTCCTTTCCTTCATTCTCTTATTCCTGGTTCACTGCACCTGCAAAGATAACTGTCAAATGTGTGCCAGTGGGAAATGCTGGAGTAATGATTTCCAAATGTGGGTTAATGCACTAGTGTCATCAGAATTGCCTGAGAACCTTTTCAAAAATACATGCTCCTACATTTACTCCCCAAATGTTCTTACTTGGAAGGTCTGGGAAGAGCAGAAAATCTGTATGTTTGGAATGAGATCAATGAATCTGATCAACATGGTGGATTAAAGAGAGACACTTATCTCTGTTCCTTCAGCAAACTCCTTGGCATAGCATAAACACAGATCCAGATGACCAGAAATCTAAGACCCAAGTATCTCTGAGGGCATACGTGAAATGAGAGGCTGAAAACAACAGAGTTGGTTGCCAGTGTGGGGGATCATAATTGGCCACCCCAAAATGTGTTTCTTTGGCTTGATTATTTTTAAGAATAAAAGACTCTGAAGGAAACTTTGACCTTCCCCCTAAGTGCCTAGAAGAATTTAGGATAGAAGGCCTGTTTCCAGGACAAGCCATCAACATAGATAACTCTGAGTATAATAGCCTGGGAGGATCCTTGCTAAGCCCATTCTTATCAAAGTTCTCGCTCTGTCTCTTGCTCACTTGCTTGCTTGCTCACACACGCATGTGCATGCCTGCTCTGGCTCTCGTCACGTTGTCTA